ACAGGCAGAAGCCACTGCTCCTGGCTTTTGGGGCTTTCTTGAGTTGTTATCCAAAAGCTATTGTGGCAGCTGTCTAGTCCAGTTGCCCTGCATATCGGTCTCAATACCTCAATATGAATCTTTGTTGTTTTTTTTTTGAGATGGAGTCTTACTCTGTTCCCCAGGCTGGAGTGCAGTGGTGCGATCTTGGCTCACTGCAACCTCCGCCTCTTGGGTTCAAGCAATTCTTCTGCCTCAGCTTCCTGAGTAGCTGGGACTACAGGCACATACCATGCCCGGCTAATTTTTGTATTTTTAGTAGAGATAGGGTTTCACCATGTTGGCCAGGATGGTCTTGATCTCCTGACCTTGTGATCCACCTGCCTCAGCCTCCCAAAGTGCTGGGATTACAGGTGTGAGCCACCACGCCCGGCCTTCAATATGAATATTGAAGTACACAAGCCCCCAGGAGACTTACCTGCCTATGTGGGAGGGCTGTTGCTCTCTGCGCCCACCCACAGCCCTTGGATAGTAAGGCATCTATGGGCCTCCGTTGACTGCATGCTCCTGGACCCTCCCTGACTTTCCTCCTCCTCAGGCCCAGCGTCTCCCCAAGTCTCCCCAAGAGTCACTGGGTGCTGCTGGCCCAATGATGAGGATGACCCTATTAGGTGTGTTTGGGAATGTGGTTCTCTTGTTGCTCCCACTTCAGCTCAGTAAAACTTGGAATAACCTTCCAAAGAGTGGGTGAGGACAGAAGCTGCAGGTAGCCCCAGCCCTTCCTCAGGAAGGTGGAAGCATGTTCTTCCTGCCTCACCCCTCTGTGGCAGTGGGGAAGAGGGTAGGGGAAGAGTTAGAAGTCAAGGGAGCGAGACTGGGAGTAGCAGTAGTCAGTGTGTGTGTGTGTCTGCTACATGGCTGTGCACCTGCCCTGAAGGTGGGCTCTCAGATCCCTGGCATGTTCAGGGGTTCCTCAAGGTGAAGGGTACCATGGGTGGAACAGGCAGACCTCAGCTGGCAGGAAGGAAAGTGATGGCATCCTTAGTGTCCCTGTTGAGTCATCTGCAGCATGCTCAGGAAAGGTCCTAGCTGCCTACCCTTTGGGTAGGCATCAGAGCCTGTGCCAAAAGTGCTCCTAGGAGATGCAGGGATGCAAGGACTCACCTGGCTAAGCCCCAAGGCCTGGAAGCAGCTTCGGGAAAGGGCACCCATCCGGCAGCACCGTGGGTTGTTTACTCGCTGAGCCTGTGCCTGCTGAGTGCTTCCTATATGTGCAGCACCAGGCACTGGGGCTCATCCAGCTCAGCATGATCTCATGGGAATAATAAACCAACATGAAATTGCAGTCTCAAGTTACAGCTGGAATAATTGTTGGAAGCACTGGGGGCTAAGAGGGAGTCTGAGCAAGTGTCTTTTACCCTGAGAACCTGAGGATCCAGCCAGGTGAAGACAGCATGCAGCCTGAGGCCCTGAGACAGACAGCTGCTGGGTTCACAGCTGAGATGAGGCAGCCCTGGGTGCACGTGGTAGAGTGGGCTTTGTGGAGTTCCTCCCAGGGGACAGAATGTACTAAAATGAGGCTGGGCCGGGCGCGGTGGCTCAAGCCTGTAATCCCAGCACTTTGGGAGGC